CTTTGGATGGGTTCATCTAACAACAGGGCTTTAAATACTCACGCTAGAGCGTTTAAGAACTTTTGTTGAGAATACAGTCTTCAAGAACTACGTTCGTTGTTGTTGTTGTTGTTAAGTTTATTTATTCATTTTGAGAGCGAGAGAGAGTGCGCACGTGCGTGCGTGAGACGGGAGGGAGCAGAGAGAGAATCCCAAGCAGGCTCCACACGGTCAGCACGCAGCCCGACGTGGGGCTCGAACTCACAAAACTGTGAGATCGTGACCTGAGCCGAAACCAAGAGTCGGACCCTCCATCGATTGAACCAACCGGGTGTCCCTTCAAGAACTATGTTCTAGTCAGCATGTTTTTTTGGAAGGCTTGGTCTCCCTTGCTTTGCTTTGCTCAGCGCTGTTCTCCCGCCTTAGCGGCTAACTAGAAATGGCTCTTGTTGCTACAGCTGTCCCTCTGCCCTCGCTGACTCGTTTTGTATCTTTGCATTCTTAGGCCACTCACCTCTGCCAAGATAATTTTAGAATAGCATTTTTGGTGTGCTCTGGTAATGGGGAGGGCATTTAAATCTCCTCTGAGTGGAAAAATCCACTTTTTGTGGGAGTCAGAGGCCAAAACCCTCTCCCTCTTGGGTGGCCGATTGTACTTCCCCAAAGCACGAGCATCCAACCTTCCCTTGTCCTCACTCCTGTACTGCAGGTTGTATCTGCCTCATTACTCACTGTTTAATCTCCGAGCACATTAAGCTTTTCATGCTGACTGAGGAAAACTTGAAACAAGGCAAGAAAAATAGAGATAAAGAAATCACTCTCCAAGGACAACATTGGTCACATTTCAGCGTGTTGCCTGCGAGTCCCTCAAGGTTCCTCCCCCCCGACTTTATTATTATTTTTTAATATGAAGTAGAGAAGCATACTGTTTACACAGTTTCCTTACTGATTTTTTTTTGTGTGCTGGACATTACAATAAACCTTCCTCCGTGACTTGTGGCATTCTTTGTAGACATAGCCAAAATGACCTTCACTGGGTTTTTGTGTATTACAAAAGTAAAACATGTTACTTATTAAATCTGAAAGCACAGATAAGCTTAAATAAAAGCCCATTGAGACCATGCATAATCCCCCCACTCAGAGACAATCTCTGCTAATATTCTGATGCATTTCCTTCTGTATTTAGCAATCTGTATGTCTGTGTTATAGATCTGCAGAAAGAACATGTTCTAGGTACCATTTTTAACCTGTGTTATTCACTTAAAAAGACTTTTTGGCTTATCTTGTTAAATACTTACAATTGTGGGGTTGGGAGAATGGGTGAAGGTAGTCAAAAGGCACAAACTTCAAATTACAAAATACGTAGGTTCTGGGCATGCCACATACAGGCTGGTGACTATAATTGATAATACTCTATTGTATATTTGGATGTAGCTAAGGGAGCACATCTTAAGTTCTCATCACAAGAAAAAAATTTGTAGCTACCTATGGTCATGGATGTTAACTAGCCTTATTGCAGTGATCATTTGGCAATATATACAAATATCCAATCATTATGTTCGACACCTGAAACTAATACAATATGTCAATTCGATCTCAGTTGGAATGCCTGGGTGCGCCTGGGTGGCTCAGTTGGTTAAGCATCCAACTCTTGGTTTTGGCTCAGGTCGTGATCTCACAGTTTCATGAGTTCAAGCCCCGCGTCGGGCTCTGTGCTGGCAGTGGGGAGCCTGCTTGGGATTCCCTCTCTCTCTACCTTGCATTCTGCCCCTCCCCTACTCATGTTTCTCTCTCCAAATGAATGAATGAATGCATGAATGAATGATATACAATTCTATAAATGTGTGCATAGAATCCAAACTTATGGATAATTTTTTTATTCTGACATTTTCTTATTGTTGGACATTTAATCTGACTGTTGGACTCAGTGTGAAATGGTTGCCCCATGGGCCAATGCTTCGTGCTGGTAGCTGCTGTCTCTTCCTTTCTCTTCCATGAGCCTGGAGTGCCTACAGGTCAGAGAGAATCTGTGAGCCACCTTAGTCTCCAGCCTGTTGTCCCGTACTTGGCACATGGTCAACACTAAACGTTGGCTAGATGGGTGAATTCTTCCTGAACTCAGATGACCTGAGAGACACTACACCCAAACTGTAGAGTGTTTGAAATACAGAACAGAAAATTTGCTGGCCTTGGAGGAGCTGTAGTCCTGGGCTTGAGTTTCAGTCTGTTCACCTCTTCTACCTCTGGTTGAGTGTCCTCCAGGACCATGCCGGTTAGCACATGTTTATTCTTTTTTTTTTTTTTTTTAACGTTTGTTTATTTTTGAGAGACAGAGACAGAGCATAAGCGGGGGAGGGGCAGAAAGAGAGGGAGACACAGAATCCGAAGCAGGCTCCAGGCTCCGAGCTGTCAGCACAGAGTCCGACATGGGGCTCGAACCCACAAGCTGTGAGATCGTGACCTGAGCCAAAATCGGATGCCGAACTGACTGAGCCACCCAGACGCCTCTGGCACCTGTTTATTCTTGAGGTATGCATCTCTAGGTGTTATCTGCATGTATCTAAAAATGAGAACTATAGCCAGTTCTCATTATTTGGGGGGAAAGAAAGCACTTTAGAAGGGGTGACGTACGGCATCCTAGTAGAGAAAACTCTGAATTTGAAATACACGGAGCGAGGTTTGGTTCCTTGCTCGGCCACTCAACTTTGCAATCATGGGAAATTCACTCAACCTTCCAGGCTTTAGCGTCCTTCATTATCAAGTGGGAAAATATGAATAATACACATTCTTCCTCCGTATACAAGGTTATTGTGAAGAACAAGCATCCTATAGATGTGAGCAGGACGGGGTGGGTAGCAGGACTGGGGTGGGGGCAGGAGGCAAGGAAGCCTTTTGGCCCCATCTTCACACACAGTCTCAAATTTAGATTTTTAAAGATTATACACCCACATGGACATATAATATCCGTGAAATATTGCCTTGCATTGGTTGCATTGGCACATGTGTGTTAAAAGCAGGAGTTAGCGAAGCATATGTCCCACGATTTTTGTAACTTTCTTTTGCTCTCGTCTTCACTTTGAGTATGTTGGCAGCCTCAGTCAAAGGAAGTGGCCGAGGCCTCCTGACTGGTGGGAAACCCTCCCTGCATGCCAAAGCACCTCGTAAACCATACACCCCTCTGAAGGTGCTGGAAACAAAATTGGAAGAGGGAAGAGTAGGGCTGTGCTTTGGTGGAGAAGGTGATGATGGAGAGAAAGCTGGAGAGCACAGGAAATTCCGGGGAATTGGCTCCCCCGGTGTCATCTACCTCAGGCTTCTCCAACCAGAAGCAGAGTCGGTGAAGGGAGAGCAACAAAGAAAATCTCATTTGAAAGGTTGCCTTTCTTTCCTCAGAGAAACAGTTACTTTTCCGTTTGGGGGAGTAACGGAGATTTCCAGCGTCAAAATTTTGGTCCAGAAAACCCAAAGGCAATTACCTGCCACTCCCAGGGAGTACCTGGGACCCCATGAAGGTACTGATAGTAACGGTAACCAGGTCACTGTGTTCTAGGGGACAAACCGCAGTGGGCCCAAGGTCCGTGGTTTTCCATGCGACTTTCCGCCTAAAACCCATTTTTAGGGCGTCGTTTGTTACAAGGAATAGTCTGTATCACAAAGCCCGTAAAGTCCTTGCGATTCCAAGTTTAATCGTGCAGTCCGAAAGGAAGTTACCTCACAATTTAATAAGGCAAAGCCAAGCACTCTAGCGGTATATTGTGTCTTATAATTGGCTTGAGTTAATAGTTCTTCCCTTTCATTTCTGGAAAAGTGGGGCCCGGCTGCCTCCCATTCAGAATTTTCCAGGGCGGTCCTGAGTTTGAATTGTCTACCAGCAGCTCTCTTACAGGGGCGTCCGGTTCTGATTTCTGGTTCTAGTGGTGGCTGTGTCGCTCTTCACATGAGGAAGCAGAGCCCAGTTACCTGAGCCTCTTCCCTCAGGTGACTGTCTCCCTCATCACCTACGTCACCGTTGCAAGGTTCTCAAACTTGTCACAGAGGAGGAGAGCCCGGAACCCACGGTTCTCTTTGCAGAAATTCATCATAAGCTGCTGCTCTCTATTTTACGGCACAATTTGAACCAGAAGTGCTTTTAATGGTGGTAAATGTGCATATTTCATATGCAATATCTTATCGAAAAATAAAGCGCTGTGGCTCAGTCGGTTAACCTTCCGACTTCACCTCAGTTTACCATCTCACAGTTCGGGAGTTCAAGCCCTGTATCGGCTCGGTCAGGGCAGAGTCTGCTTCGGATCCTCTGTCCCCCTAGCTCTCTGCCCCTCCCCCACTTGCACACGCGCGCGCGCGCGCGCTCTCTCTCTCTCTCTCAAAATTAAACATCAAGAAAAATAAAAATAAAGCATATGCATGAATTCATGATATGTTACTACAAATAGTTTGAACCTCTTGACCAGCTCTTTTGGAAGTCCTACCAGGGCCTCCTCACTGGCCAGTCCTCTGAGCTAAGCTTCCTTAAATCACGGATTGAGTAGCAGTTGACATAGGTGAGGACTCTCTCCTGAAGTACTTTCTCTCCACAGCTCCCAGGACGCCACTCTACCTGGTCTCTCCCTGCCTCACTGGCTGCCCAAGCTGAGTAGGACGAGTCCGCTTCCCCAGTGCGCTGTGGGAAGGCCGTGACCCAGGAAGCAGTTGTCTCCTTCCCTGAAAACAACCATGTCTGCTCTCCCTGCCCTCTGTCGTCCTTCCCTTCTCTTCCCGCCTCAGGATTCTGTAAATGAGACAAGAGAGGGTCCAAGCAACACTTCTCCAGCCCCGAGGGCCCACGGGAGGCAGAATGGTCTCAGGTGGGGCCGGTTCCCACCTCCCTTAAGTCACTTACCTGCTTCCTCAGCCTCCTCACTTGTAAGATGGCAATGACCGTTGTTCTTACCTCCCCCCTTCGCTGTGAATATATTTTTAAGGGTTTTTTTTTTTTTGGATCACTATATTTTATTTTTAATTATTATTTTAAAAATATAATTTACTGTCACGTTAGCTAACGTTCAATGTCTACAGTGTGCTCTTGGCTTTGGAAGCAGGTTCCCATAATTCATCGCTTACGTACAACAGCCAGTGCTCGTCCCAACAAGTGCCCTCCTCAATGCCCATCACCCTCAGTTTGTTCTCTGTATTTAAGTGTTTGTTTGTTTGTTTGTTTGTTTTGAGAGAGACAGAGAGAGTGAGAGCAGAGGAGGGGCAGAGAGAAAGTGAGAGAGAGAATCCCAAGCAGGTTCTGTGCTAGGTCAGCACAGAGCCTGATGTGGGGCTCGAGCTCACAAAACCGTGAGATCCTGACCCGACCCGAGATCAAGAGTTGAACACTTAACTGACTGAGCCATCCTGGCACCTCTAAATGTTTATTTTTGAGAGAGAAAGAGAGAGAGAGCGAGAGCGCACACGTGTGAAAGCAGGGGAGGGGCAGAGAGAGCAAGATGGATGATATGCCACGGGCTCTGAGCTGGCAGTGCAGAGCCTGATACGGGGCTCGAACCCATGAACTGTGAGATCATGAACTGAGCCAATGTCTAACGCTTAAATGACAGAGCCACCCGGGCATCCCTGTTTGTTGTCAACAGTAAATGCGCTAAGGCAGCGGTTCTCCGTGGGGGATGATTCCGTGCTCCAGTGTACATATGGCAACATCGAGAGACATTTTTTGGGAGACGGCACAAGTGAGGCGAGGTGGGTGGGGTGGAGAGGTTTGCAGCAGGCATCTAGTGGGCAGGGGCCGGGGAGGCTGCCACGCAGCCTGTCGTGCATGGGACAGCCCCACGACAAAGAAGGATCTGGCCCAGCAGCTCAATAGTGCTGAGGTTGAGAAATTCTGGAATAAGGCATGAAAGCGCTCAGCTTGATGCGTAAGGAATGTCATTGTTGTCATTGTTGTTGCTCTTATTCATCTGTGCAGCTGCTCCCCTGTCGGAACCATGAATGTGCTTTCCATTACTGTCAGAAAGAAAATTTGTTTTAGCCGTTCGATCTGTATTGCGAGAATGCTACCCAAAGAATGCTACCCAAAAGCCCAGACGTTGGTGGAAAAACCGCACGTGTGCTGAAACAACATGGCTGGATGAAACCAGAAAAGAAAGCAAATCGACTACCTATCTGAACCGCTAACTAGGGGAAGTGATACATTGTACAAATGACTACACTTTTTACGTGTTACCGCCAATCATCCCTGCCAGTTAGGTGTGTTATGTTCCCTTTAGAGAAGAGAAAACTTAGGTTCACAGAAGTAACATGACTTGTCCTGGTGAAAAGAGCTGGTAAGCGATGGATCTGGGCTATGAACCCAAGTATTTTTTTACTCCACGAGTTTGCCACCAGACTGCTGCCCGTGTCCCCCTTTCCCAGGGCTGACCAGGCCTGGCTGTGCTCTGGAATCGGACCAGATAGAGCCTGTTCAGGTAATGTGTTTGACAACACGAAAAGAGTCGCTACCTTGAGGTGGTGAATTGGTTAGTGTTTATTTGAAGATTTTTATTTATTTTTTTACGAAGGTCGTAACCAACTTTAAAAAAGAGATACACACAGAGGCCCATGTCACAGTGACTTCCACGATCCTGGTGCCCATCCCAAACTCTTCAAGTCAAGAGTAAATTAAAGCCACACGGGATTATGATCTAATTAAGCAGCTGGACTGGTGGCTCTTTGCTTTGTGAAAACACTGTCATGAATATCATTCTGGGAGTGATATTCCTACCTTCTCTGCTGACCAGCCGTGACGCATACACGGACAATCACGTGCATGCACACACACACACACACACACACGCACACACGCACACACGCTCATACTCACACACACACGCGTGAATTCTTCACAATGTCTTGTTCGTTCTGAGTCCATTTACTCAGATATCCGTTTTTTCTCTCCTCTCTGAAGCAGGTTAGCATCTTAATGGTGGGTAAGTAGTTCTAGCAATTCCATTCGGAGAGAGACTGCTAGTTGGGTAGAGTAAGTGAGGAAAAAGTTGAGCAAGGAGAAAAGTCACAGTTCTGAAATGAGCTAGTGTTTGACATCAGAAACGGTCTTTTGCTTTCTTTTTCCTTTCTTTTCTTTAATTATTTTTTTGGAAAGAGAACAGCCACGTGTGGAGTTACAGAAAAATGCCTCAGACACTGGGCAGTCTGCACTGTTACTCTGGGCGAAGACAGTCATATAAGCAATAACATCTGGATGGGGTCGAGTCCCCTTTGAAATCCGAATATACTCTAACAGTGCTTATTTAAACATTGTTTGTGTTTGAATAATGGCAAGAGTTAGAGCTTGCGAGGGACTTTATTTTTCAGGCTTTTGGAATTGGGCACAGAGAATGTCTGACAGGGTGAAGGAATTTGGAGTTGAGTGTGGGGACTCTGCGGGGACATGGGACACTCATTTACAGTCCTTTTGGATTTTGGCTAAGTTTCTCTTTTCTTCACTCAGTCACTTTAAAACACACAGTCCCTGAAAAAGACGCAGACCAACCAACGGGGAAGTTGGTGCTTATGTAAGGATTTGTGGCTTTGGTGGCTGAGGGGCCGAGAAAGCTGGCGATGAGCTTTCTGCCGTGAGCCTGTGAGCTGGGCCCGCACTGACCATGGGCTGCTGCTGTGCCATGAATGAGGTAAGGCCTTCCAGAGCATGGGACGCTGCTGGGCCCATGGAGAAGCCTTCAGGCTCGCTTCACGCTCTGGCAGTGCTCCCACCTTATGCCAGGGCTAAAGGTTCTGAAAGCCCCAGAATGATCCCAGCAGACCCGTTCTCCCTCCCCCAGAACGCCAACCCCTGCTAGGCTGGGCTGCATACATGTCCCACTCTCAGGTGACCAGATGTCTTGGTCCAAAGGGCCACCCCAAATACTCATACAGGGAATCCCCAGACCCCCTTCCCCCATGTACCTGCACCTAGCTGGCCACTTGATTTGTATTTCTCCTACCAGTTTGTACCCTTTTGAAGGTAGGCCACAGAAGGTGGTCGGCCAGAGCCAGATTCTGGAATCAGACTGGGGTTCCCTCGTCACTAGCTCTGGGACTATGGGCAGGTCACCTAACTTCCTTGGTGCCATGGACTGAATGTTTATGGCCCCCTAAAATTCTTATGTTGAAACCCAATCCCCAACGTGATGGTTTGGGGAGGTGGGACCTTTGGGAGGTCAGGAGGTCATGCGGGTGGGGTCCTCATGATGAAATTAGTGTCCTTATAAAAGAGACCCCAGTGGGCCCCCTCAACCTCTTCAACCATATGAGGATACAGTGAGCAGATGGCTGTCTATGAAGCAGGAAGTGGCCCTCACTAGACCCCAGCACCTTGATCGTAGACTTTCCAGCCTCCAGAACTGTGAGAAGCAGATGTCTGTTAATTATGAACCACTCAGCCTGCGATATTTTGTTATAGCAGCCAGAACTAAGGTACCTGGGCTTTAATTTCTCACCGGAGTCAGGCACAGAATTGACACATGCTCATGCTTCATCAATGAAGCATGATGAAGCATGCTTCATCAATATTTGCTGGATGAATTCGCTGTCTCTTAGAATCACTATGAGAACTACATTAGAGAAGTTAAAACAGCATAGTGCTGGGCATGTGGTCTGGGTTTAATAGTTGCTACCGTCATATAATGATATGCAACGCATTGTACCTGATGCACATTATAAAAGAATATTTGCTTATGTAATAATAATATCTAATACACGTATATATATATATAGTCTTACGTATAACAGGTTTTATTCCAAATGCTTTTATTAAGGAACTTATTCCTTTCAGCGACTTGATGCAGTAGGTGCTATTATTATCCCCATTTTACAAGTAGGAAAACTGAGTCATGAGAGGTTAAGTCATTTGTCTGAGGTCTCACGACTTGTTAGTGGCACAGCTGTGATTCGAATGGCCCAGAGTCTCTGCTCTTCTATCAAGCAGTATGTGTTTTTGAGAGCCAAGAGGCATCTTGCATGGAGGTCTAACTCAAGGGGTATGAGGTCCATGCAAGACATTCCACGAACTTGTAGGTGAGTTGGGCGGACAAGACACAGAAAGATACCCAAGGGAGCAGCTTTAGAAGCTCCCCAACTGATTCCAAATTTCGGCCACGTATGCAATTGTATGACAACTGGTATGTCAGGGGCACCTGAGTGGCTCAGTCGGTGAAGCATAGGACTTTAATCTCACAGTTCGTGGGTTCAAGCCCCGCATCGGGCTCTCTGCCGTCAGCACGGAGCCCGCTTTGGATCCTCCGTCCCCCTCTGCTCAGCCCCTCCCCTGCTTGTGCTCTCTCTCTCTCTGTCTCTTTCAAAAATAAATAAATGAACTTAAAAAAAAAAGAAAAAAAAAGACCCGTGTGTTAGATTGATGCTTTTCAAACCTTAATGTGCATTCATATTAACTGAGGGTCTCGGTCAAATGCAGATGTTGAGACAAGGAGTCTGGATGGAGGCCTAGGTTTTTTTGGTGTGTGTGATACAATTAACCGACCATAAAACTCACCATTTTAAAGCGCACAATTCAGTGATTTTTAATATATTCGCAAGGTTATGCAACCATCACCACCATCTAATTTCAGAACACCTTTATCACCCCCAAAAGAAACCTTGTGACCAATGGCAGTCATTCCTTGATTCCCCTCCCCCTAGCCTGACAAACTCTAAAATCACTTCTTATCTCCATGGATTTGTCAGTTTGGGACATTTCGTATACATCGGTCCAATTTGTGGCCTTTGTGTCAAGTTTCTTTCACTAAGCATGATGTTTTCAAGGTTCACACATATTGTAGCACGTATCAGTACATCATTCCTTTTTTTCCCCCCTTTTTAAAAATTAAGTTTTTAATTTTACTTCCAGTATAGTTAGCATAGTGTAATATTAGTTACACGGCATACAGTATAGCGATTCAACAATTTCATACATCACCCAGTACTCATCATGATAAATGCGCTCCTTAATCCCCATCACCTGTTTTACCCATCCCCCCACTCACCTCTCCTCTAGTGACTATCAGTTCTCTATAGTTAAGACTCTGTTTCTTGGTTTGTCTCTTTTTTCTTCATTTGTTTTGTTTCTTAAATTCCGTATATGAAACCATATGGTATTTGTCTTTCTCTGATTGACTTATTTTGCTTAGATACTACTCTACTCTATTTTGCTTAGATACTAGCTCCAACCATGTTGTTGCAAATGGCAAGATTTCATTCTTTTTTATAGCTGAATAATATTCCATTGTACATATCCGCCATATCTTCTTTATCCATTGGTCTGTCAATGGACACTTGGGCTGCTTTCATAATTTGGCTATTGTAAATAATGCTGCCGTAAACATAGGAGTGCATGTATCCCTTTGAGTTCATGTTTTGGTATTTTTTGAGTAAATGCCCAGTAGTGCAATTGCTAGATTATCGGTAGTTCTATTTTTAATTTAAAAAAAAAAAAATTTTTTTTTAACGTTTATTTATTTTTGAGACAGAGAGAGACAGAGCATGAACGGGGGAGGGGCAGAGAGAGAGGGAAACACAGAATCGGAAACAGGCTCCAGGCTCTGAGCCATCAGCCCAGAGCCCGACGCGGGGCTCGAACTCCCGGACCGCGAGATCGTGACCTGGCTGAAGTCGGACGCTTAACCGACTGCGCCACCCAGGCGCCCCCTATTTTTAATTTTTTGAGGAGCCTCCATACCGTTTTCCTTGGTGGCTGTACCACTTTGCATTCCTACCAACAGTGTACAAGGGTTCCTTTTTTTCCACATCCTCGCCCACGTCTGCTGTTTCTTGTATTGTTGACTGTAGCCATTCTGACCAGTATGAGGTAATTTCTCATTGTAGTTTTGATTTCTTTTTCCTTTTGATGGCTGATTCCACTGTAGGGATATACCACATTTTGTGTAACCATCCATCAATTGATGAACAAATGGGTTACTTCCATTTTTTGTCTATTATAAACAATGTTGATACGAACCATTCTGTACAAGTTTTGTGCGGACATGTTTTCAATTCTAGTGGCTAGATACCTAGGAGTAGAATTGCTGAATCCATTCTGTGTTAGCCGTTTTTGAGGAACTCCTAAACTGGTTTTCAAAATTGCTACTCTACGTTACATTCCCACCAGGTATATGAGAGGTCCAGTTTTTCATTCCCACCAACTCTTGTTATTGTCTGGTTTTTTAAAAAAGTTTATTTATTTATTTTGAGAGTGAGGGAGCACAAGCAGGGGAGAGGCAGAGAGAGAGGGAGGGAGAATCCCAAGCATGCTCCACGCCATCAGTGCAGAGCCCAGTGCAGGGTTTGATCTCACAAAGCGTGAGATCATGACCTGGGGAGAAATCAAGAGGCGGACGCTTAACCGACTGAATCGCCCAGGCACCCCTGTACTGTAGCCATTCTAGTGGTGTTAAATGGTATTTCACTGTGGTTTTGACTTGCATTTCTCTAATGACTCATAATGGTGAGCATCTTTTTCACGTACTAATTTGGCCATTTATACATGTTCTTTAGAGAAATGTCTATTTAAAGCCTTGGCACATTTTAAATGCATTTTTAGCAAAAAGTACAGCTATAAGTCATTATTAAAATAACATTAGCTTTGGGGCGCCTGGGTGGCTCAGTTGGTTAAGCGTCCGACTTCAGCTCAGGTCACGATCTCACGGTCCATGAGTTCGAGCCCTGCGTCGGGCTCTGGGCTGATGGCTCAGAGCCTGGAGCCTGCTTCCCATTCTGTGTCTCCCTCTCTCTCTGTCCCTCCCCCGTTCATGCTCTGTCTCTCTCTGTCTCAAAATTAAATAAAAAAATAAATACAATAACATTAGCTTTAAAAAAGCCTAATCTCTGCACCCAATGTGGGGCTCACACTCAAGACCCTGAGATTAAGAGTTGCTCACTCAACTAACTGAGCCAGCCAGGTGCCCCTCCTGGGCACATTGTAAAATGGGTGCTCTTTTTATGGTTGAGCTGTAAGTGTTCCTTATACATTCCGGATACTAAATTTTTTTTTTTTCAAAGAGAGGATTTGTACATATTTTCTCTCAGTTTAGAGGCTGTCTTTTTTTACTTTCTTGGTAGTGCCCTCTGAAGCCCAAACTTGGTGATGCCTCCCTTTATCTATTTTTCCTTTTGTAGCTTGTGCTTGTGGTGTTATATCTAACAAAAAAAAAAAAAAAATCATTGCCTGATCTAGGGCGCCAAAGATTTTGCATTTCTAAAAATTCTCAAGTAATGCCAATGGTGCTGGTTCAAAATTCACAATTTGGGCAGCGAGAAACTAAAGCATTTCTTTTTCTTTTCAATGACCTGATGGAGTAGGAGCCAGGGCTCTCTTTGGATGGCTTAGTAATCAGCTCTGAATCAAACTGGAGTTTTCCTTAGTCCACAGGCTCTCCCACGGGCTCCCGGCTGGGGCTGGAACATAACAGTGGACTGTCTTCCCTTGTTGTTTGGAAGCTCTGAACTTCAGAATTTGGATCAGTTCAAATCTAGTACCGCAAACTCTAGGTAAACAATGCTGTCACCAGGCTGGAATTTGGTTTGTCGGAAGTGTCACTTGAAGGAGTGGGCCTTTGTCTGTAGCCCTGACTTCAGAGAAACTTCCGTCCTAGCAGCATTTGCTGTAATGACCTTTGACACCTAAATGGCAGGCAGCACTGTGCGTCCCAAACAAAACTGCAGAGCATATGAACAAGATAGTTTTTGCCATTCTCTCAGGCAAGGCTCAGTTTCAGAATGTAATGCTCCCTTTAATGAGAAGTTTATTAGCAAAAAGTTTAGCCTGGTGTCCTCTGCTTTGTTTTCTTTTTGTTCTTTAAATTTGGTTGCTGCTTAAACAAAACCGCTTTCAGATCCAGAGCTTCAAACATAATCCCGGGTTATTGATGTCCTGTTCTCTGGTCTTTGTTCTCTGGACCCTTTTCTTTCATGTACTAAGTGAAGGTGACCCCCACTGCCTGCCCCGACTCCAGAAAGTCCTCCTCGGGAAGGTCTTTGGCCAAAGGCTCAGCCAGCCTGGCCACCAAACAGGAAACACTGGCTGTGGACATTTTGGGGCAGCCATGGGAGTTAGTGGGTGACATTTTCCGGGCAAAGTCAGAATGAGTCCAACCCTAAGGCACTAGAAGGAAAGGGACCATGGGGTCTGTTCCCCTCCTTACAATCTAGCTCCCACCAACTTGGCCTTCCGTCCACTGCTCCAGAACCATTTCTCAGCATTCCTTTCCATTCATCCTTCTCTGAGCTGCTTCTCCTTGGAATGTTTGCTATGTTCACTGTTTAGTAAGGAAATGTGGGTGGGATTCATGTATTCATCAGCTATTTGTTTGCTGCTTCTCACATATTCATTGAGCCCCTACTATGTGTAGGTCTCTGTGCTTGTCACTGGGAAGATTACAAAAATTGTCTTTGCCCTCATAAAGTTTATAGTCTGATGGAGACAGCTGTTCTAATTCATTAGTTCAGCAGATATTTATTGAGTGCATACTATGTGTCAAGCACTATTCTGGGTGCTGTGGCTAAAGTAGTGACAAGGACAGGCCAGGCTTCTGCCCTCATGGTGCTTACAAGTGCAACCAACAGGTAGCTTTAACACAGGGCAGTTCAGTTAAGAAAGGGTCAACTCTGCTGTCCTCATTCATTCATTGACTCGCTCACTCATTCACTTACTCCTTTCAGAAGTAGTTAGCAAGCTCCTACCATACAATGGTCACCCTGTGAAATTCTGGTGAGTCCAGAAAGACTAGGTCCTTTCTCTCTGGGTACTTATAGTCTAGTGGGGGGAGTTTGGCCATGAATCCAATAATTATACTAACAAATCTATAATTACAAACTGAGATAAACTATTTGAGGAACACCCAAAGCAGAGCTGTCCTTGACCAACACACATCCCTGAACTTAACTGGTTGAGTGTACCCACTCAACCGTTAGCATCTCTACCTTCTCCCTTGACATCAGCTTTCCCTCTTTTGTTCACTTATTCCTGAAGTAATATATGTAGTTTTCTGCTTTTAAGGATGGTGTATGTTTTTTTTTTTAAGTTTATTTATTTTGAGAGACAGAAAAAGAGCATGGGCAAGTGGAGGAGAGGTGGGGTGAGAGGGAGAGAGAGAACCCCAAGCAGGCTCTGCACCGTCAGCACAGATCTCACAAACTGTGAGATCATGACCTGAGTTGAAACCAAGAGTCCGACGCTTAACAGAGCCACCCAGATGCCTGAAGAACAGTGTGTGCTGAGTGTAATTTAATCGTATCTCAAAGAGTCGGCTAGTATTTATGGATCTGCTTTTACAGTATTTTAGCATCAATTATCTGTCTTTACTGGAGGCGATTATTAATTTGGAGTTGATAGTGATTTTCTAATTTTATCGTTCCTTCTATATTTATTGGCTGGAATTCTTTTATAAAGAGAGCCGCTTCATGTTTGCTCTCCACTCCTTTTTCTTTCTTTTCCTCTCTTTCTTAGGGTCTATGGACTCATGGATTATTGTCCTTATTCTGTCCATTGCCATCATTATTTCTTTTCATGCACAAATTGTCCTGAATTTGGTCAGTGAGAGCCTACTTTATTTATTTATTTTTTAAATATATGAAATTTATTGTCGAATTAGTTTCCAGTGCTCATCCCAAAAGGTGCCCTCTTCAATACCCATCACCCACCCTCCCCTCCCTCCCACCCCCATCAGCCCTCAGTTTGTTCTCATTTTCCAAGAGTCTCTTATGTTTGGCTCTCTCCCACTCTAACCTCTCTCTTTTTTTTTTTCCTTCCCCTCCCCCATGGGTTCCTGTTAAGTTTCTCAGGATCCACATAAGAGTGAAAACATATGGTATCTCTCTTTCTCTGTATGGCTTATTTCACTTAGCATCACACTCTCCAGTTCCATCCACGTTGCTACAAAGGGCCATGTTTCATTCTTTCTCATTGCCACATAGTACTCCATTGTGTATATAAACCACAATTTCTTTATCCATTCATCAGTTGATGGACATTTAGGCTCTTTCCATAATTTGGCTATTGTTGAAAGTGCTGCTATAAACATTGGGGTACAAGTGCCCCTATGCATCAGTACTCCTGTATCCCTTGGATAAATTCCTAGCAGTGCTATTGCTGGGTCATAGGGTAGGTCTATTTTTAATTTTTTGAGGAACCTCCACACTGTTTTCCAGAGTGGCTGCACCAGTTTGCATTCCCACCAACAGTGCAAGAGGCTTCCTGTTTCTCCACATCCTCTCCAGCATCTGTAGTCTCCTGACTTGTTCATTTTGGCCACTTTGACTGGCGTGAGGTGATATCTGAGTGTGGTTTTGATTTGTATTTCCCTGATGAGAGCAACGTTGAACATCTTTTCATGTGCCTGTTGGCCATCCGGATGTCTTCTTTAGAGAAGTGTCTATTCATGTTTTCTTCCCATTTCTTCACTGGATTATTTGTTTTTCGGGTGTGGAGTTTGGTGAGCAGTGACAGCCTACTTTAAATCAACTCTTGTATTCTTTAAAAAAGAGAAAGTTTTTTTTGAGGTATAACTGAAATACAGTAAACTGCACATATTTAAATTATACAGCTTGGTGCATTTTGACATTTCCATACACCTATAAAATTATTGTCACAATCAAGAGAATAAGCATGTCATCACTTCCCAAAGTTTCCTTATGCTCCTTTGCAATTCTTCCCTCTTCCTGCAGACTTCCCCCTTCCCCCCACCCCAGG